GATTTCCTTAGTAATGTTTTTGCTGCAGTCGTCTCATTTTTATGAGCTTTGTGATGTATTGTTGAACATATTGTCCCTTTCAGCAATCAGGCAAGAAAGGAAAGACACCTGTTCCTGTTGCAAAGGTTAGAACACTTTTTTGTTCTTGTAAACATGTTTGAATTCAGTTGTAGAAGAGGTTTTAATTGAGTGTCTTAATACCAAAACCAAACTGGTAATTACTTTGGCCAATCAGATAGGATGCTGACAATCAAGTGAACCGATCACAACTCTAAGCAAGTTGTTGCATTGGTGGAAAGGGTAGGAAAATGTGTATGAGCAAGCCACAATAATATTGTGATTTCTTGCTCACACATGTTTGACTCAATTCCTTTTCTCCTCTTGGAAAATAAGGTCAGAACTCATAGATTTACCAAACCAATTATTGGTTTTGGTTTTACTTTTGATGAGATAATGAAGTGGCATTTGTTTTTTTTTAATCCATTGTGTAGCATAGTACCTTATGCAAAACCAAACCAAATGCAAATTACTTCACTCAGATGAAAACCTCCCTATCAAGTAATTCTTATTGTGAATTAAGTTATTGTTTCTTGCTGTACATGTTGTTAATCAAAATGTGAATATAATCAAACATTTTCATTTCTAGCCAAAGCCTAAGAGCAAGAAACAACTGCAAGCTGAGCAAAGACGAAGAGAAAAAGTAGGTGTCGGGCTCATTTGCAAAACTTGACATATTTGAAAAAAAAGTCGGTTTCCAGTTATTAAATTTAGTTGTCATCGAGTAGAAGACCTCTAATGGTGATTTATGTCCATTGTAGGAAATGGAGAAGATTGCAATGGAATTGGAAGAGAAACGGAAAGAAGAAGAGGAGAAAGAGAAGCAAAGGAAACAGGTGCAGAGATCTTGACATACAAATTACATGTCTTATATTAAATACATGTAAATGTAGTGTCACATGTTTGTGTGTGTGTCCGAATGGAAAACTGTCGGCTAATGAGCCTTTCTTCCTTTGTGATTGACTGAAGCAATTAAAAAAACTTAATAAGACTATCTGATGTGCAAACTGTATCTCACATATTGTGCAGCAGCAACCAAAAGCTATAATACTTTTCTTAGGTGCAGTTTTGTCCTTGTTCAGTTTGTCCCCTTTAAATTTGTTTGTTTGTTTGTTTTGTCTCCTTGTTTGCTCCTTTCATAATATTAATATTATTATAGTTTATGAACTGGTACTGTAATGAGTCAATTTTCTTTTATTTAAGTTGCTGTAAACAATATAATCAATGTAAGACGTGTGAACTGTAAAATATTGTATTGTAACTAGTTTTTGTGTGTTGCATTAAAAAAAAAATAAAATAAAAAGTAAGAAAAGAAATTTAAAAAATACATATTGTGTAGGACTGACAAAGACTACATTTTGATAAATGGATCGTGGCTAGGACATTGTGGTAATTGTGTATAGTGAAGGGGATCTCCATCCTTTCTGACCATTCACATGAAAGCTAAATACTGAAGAAGGTTTTCTTACTTAGGAATGATATCCTGTGACATTACTGTTAGTATCTGTAAATATCAATGGAGGCAGTTTGGCCGAGTGGTCAGCACTTCGGACTCTCAATCGAGCGGTCCCAGGTTCGAGTCCCACTCTGACCACTACCTGGATTTGTTTCACGGTACTCTTGAGTTCAAATTCTTGGCCATGCTGTAAATAGCCAACTGGTTTGCCTCTGGCCAGTTGGGATTCTTAACAATGTTATGTTCAATTTGAATTATTTGTTTCAGTTATTTGCTGGGCCTCAATAGCCTTTGTGCTATAAACACTGCCGTGGGTGAATAAAGGTTATTTAATTTTTTATTATTATTTTATTAACTTTTTTTTTTACATTTCTAGCTGGAGGTTGAAAAACAGAAACGATTAGAAGAAGAGAGAATAAAAGCACAGAATGAAGAGAGGAAAAGGCGTGAAAGGTGAGAATTATTATGCTGCTACACATACACTGGTAAATGTTTTTGTGGACTAAACGAAATGATTATGCTTCAGTAGACCATCTATTATTTGTCTTACTGAAGGTAAGTACCTGATTTTTAATAAGTTTTGATTCGAGTGGAGGGAACCAAATCTTGATGTTGTTTCTGACAATTGATATCAATTTTACTCTGAAGTTTGAAATGATTGACATACATTCTTCCACAGCTTCAGATGGAATGCCTGTTTTCTGTTAAACATGGTTCATATAATTTATCAAACAATTTACCATAATGATTATTTTAAAAATCACTTAAAATAGGGAACAAAAAGAACGTGAAAAACAACAGAAGCTTGAACAAGAGAAAGAAGAGAAAAGACGCCGGCAGCAGGAGGAGGAGAAAAAGCGGAGAGAAGAGGAAGAAAAACGGAGGAAAGCTGAAAAGGAAAAGGCTGACAAAGAGAAAGCAGCAAAGAAGGTAAATGCTCTGAAGTGCTGTTTGCAGAAGCATATTGTTATAATCAGTAGAGCCCTCAGTGGGTTTGTAGCCATAGCTGGGAAAGCAGTTCAGGCTATTGGTGCAAATGGTGTTGTATTAATTTGCAAAATGACTGTAAGTCAATGGCTGTTTGGGGAGTGGGGATGGCACAGTGGTGAGAGCACTTGTCTCCCATCAATTTGGAGGTTCAATTCCAGCCCAGTGCCGTATATGGTTGACTTGGTTATGGTTCTTGCTTTGCTCCAAGGGTTTTCATCCAGGTTCTCCAGTTTTTCTTCCTCCACAACAACCAACATCTACAAATTCCAGTTTGGCCAGAATAGAGGACCCACCTAAAAGCCTGTTAAGGCTGATGTGGCTTCCTCTTTAAATATTGTAATTTATTTAAGCTTGTGGTACCATGAAACAATTCAAACTGGCTATACATGTACTCGTAAATGTGTTCCAAACTGAATGTGAGGCACCAGTTGACTACTTACATGGCTGCATCATGCCAGTCGGTTCCTAGGGTTATGTCTGCCCTCGATGGGTGACAGAATTGCAAGGTTTGCACCTCCAATACCTTGCAACTTGACTAGGCCATCCCTACAATGTTGAAAGTCCTGATTTGGTAAAAGCCTTGCTAATCACACACTTTTTGTATTTTTTAGGCTGCTCAACAGGCAGCAAAAGGTGAGTTTTTATTGCCAGCCACATGTAAAATTGAGAGGATGATCCATTTAGGGATGTTTTATACTCGATACTTTTTTTTTGATGGCATAATGGTAGTCAAATGTTATTTTGGTTTAAGTCAATGTGTTGTTGTTTTGCAGAAAAAGAAGAGAAAGAAAAAGCTGCAAATAAAAATCAGGTGAGTTCTGATGACACTGATAACCAACAGTGACAGAAAGCTCATCTTTCCTTACATGTATTTTCCCCTGGCAATTGTCGAGAAGATAAGTGATGAGAATAAAGAACTTTAATAATGAGAGGCTGTTTCCCCAATGTTTGGTAATCCATGAGGAGAGATAAAAAGTTTCAAAAAACCCTATGCAGCAACTGATAAAAGAGAGGTTTGACTTATGAATCTAGTGCAGGGATGGCGGAGCGTGTTTCGAATTGCGGGAGGCTCACAAATGAGCACCAGAGGCACTAACTTGTAGGGGGTCAGGAAATATTTGTAAAATTATTATTTGATATATTTTTGCTTGAAACTGAGGGGGTGGGGGGGGGGTGCTAAAGCCCCCTGGCTCTACCGTCCCTGTAGTGATATCTAGGTGCATCATTGTTCCTGTAATTCAACATCATGTACAATAGCACAACACATTTAGTATTAATTTTACTTTCTGACTGTTAACAATGAAGAACATGAAGAGGCAACAGCAACAGCAGCGTACAGATCAGCAACAATACCCTAGAGAAATACCACCAAGATTTCAAAGGAAAATGAAACAACAACAACAACAACAACAACAGCAACAGGCACAGTTTCAAGCACCTTCACAGCAACTACCACAGCAACAGTCACTTCCACAGCAGCCAAAGATTCAACCAAAGCCTGCTCCTCCAGGTGATGTAAATCATACTAGATTGTATTTTTGTCAAAAAAGAGATCATTGAATCCCCTATAATTGCTTTCATCGCAGCTGTCAAAAGGGTGCCAGTGATTTTAATCGTTGGAAACAGTGGTATGAGTTGTAGCCACAGCCAGTGATCCAATTGTGTAGTTTCATACATTGAGTAGACTGGAGCAAAATCATGCCCTTGTTTTGAACAAGAAAATAGTTGATATTAAGTCTATGTTGAAGAGGGTATAATTTTTTAAAAGCTGAGTTTAAAGACATCAAAGATCGGTTACAAGGTTGAACAGCTTGTTGGCTAGATTCTATTTCATCCTCACAACCACTGGAAATCTCATATTTCTGCTCTAGTATCCACAAAGGACAGATGAGTTTTTGGCAATTGATGACTTTCTTCTTACCTTTCTTTGTTAGTTGGCAAGAAGAAGGATCCAAATCGTTTTGGGCCAAAGGAGTTTGCTGATGCCATAGAGCCTGTAGATGATTCAGGATGGTCACAGTCAACTCCTGGCAAGGGCTCGGGCTGGGGTAATTCACTGGAAACTTGGGAGGATTCTGACAAATGGGGCAGTGAGGACAGACAATGGGGTGATAAGGAAGGGACATGGGAAAAACTTGTCGTTGATGGGGGTGATAAAGACACTTGGCCTGCTGTTGGATCAAAGGGAGCAGTAGGCGATAAGTTAAAGACTTCCTCAAGTGACGCTGGCTCTGAAAAGGGTCAGTATTCTGCCAATTCCTCACCAAAAACTTCTGTTTCTTCAATGTCTGCTACACTTAAGTCAGATAGCTCAGCTCAAGGAAATGTTACTTCCAATGTGGACAAAAAGTCATTGCCTTCTAGTAACTGGCAAGGGGCTTATCCAGCCCCGACTGAGAACTGGGATGTTATTGATGAGTCTATTGATCAAGCTATTGATGCTGCTGATGCAGCAACAGCTAAAGACAATGCTGGACTAGCAGCAGGGTGGGGTGGAGTGGCTAAAGGGGGGTTGGGAGGGCTTATAGGAAACAGTTCAAACTGGGAGCTAAAGGACTCTTCTTCATCAGTACATAGTCAGGAATCTGGAAAGTGCGAGCTTGCGAACAATTCAACTGCGTCTGAAGCTCCAAGCTGGAGCAAAACACCTGGAAAGGGATTTAAGACCAAATTACCAACAACATCAACTGTTGGGACTAGTAACGTCACAACATCATGGGGAGGAACGCCTGCGGAGACCAATACTAAATGGACTGAACCCAACTCCAGTTCTGATGGAGTGACAAACTCGAAGTCAAGTAAACCACCACTTTTGGATTCTACTTCTGTTGCTAAATCTGCTGCGGAAAATAAATCAGAACCGAGTATAACACCAAACTCTAGCAGTAAACTGTCTGCGTCCGGCTGGGGTGAAGCGCCGCCATCTAATCCCTCCAACTGGAGCAATTCTGCAGATATAACAGGTGCTGCGTGCTGGGACAGTGTTATGTCAAAATCAGATTCCTCTGAACTTAAAGCTGCAAGTAACAGCAAAGTTTCTCAGTGGTTAGAAAGTACAGGAATGTCATTAGCAGATTTTGAGTGGGGACAAGAACACATGGAACATGAAGAAGGATCTGAGGGATCACTTGATGGGTGGACTACAGCATCCAAAAGGAACAGGGTAAGGGCTTGCCATTGCTATTCTCTGATTCATACCGTGTGGCTCGAAATTTCATGTTTGCTAACTCTAATAGCCCATTTTGTAGTTGTCTTTTGCCTCGGTGTCAAAACGAGTCTGTGCAAAGCCATTCATATGAAAATGAGTTCCTCCTACATGGTCTTAGGGACGCGCGGTGGCCTCATGGTTAGTGCACTCGACTCCGGAGCGAGCGGTCCAGGTTCGAGCCCTGGCAGGGGACATTGCGTTGTGTTCTTGGGCGAGACACTTTACTCTCACAGTGCCTCTCTCCACCCAGGTGT